TGGGCATGCGAGCGGCCCTAAGACTTACGCTAAGTTGTGTCGCCTCGCTACCTGGCCAGGTATGAAGCGGGATGTGATTCGCTACGCCCGTTCATGTCGTGTGTGCCAAAGCGTCAAGCCGCGAGGAGGACGTCCGCCCGGCCTCATGCAACCGATTAACAGTCAGACTCCCTGGCAAATCGCAGCGTGTGACGTAATGGGCCCGTACCCCTCAACTCCTAGCAGAAATAAGTTCTTGCTGGTGATCACGGATCACTTCACTAAATGGGTAGAACTTTTTCCCCTTAGGAAGCTGACGGCTCGAGTGATTTTAGAGAAGTTGATGGAGGTTTTTACCAGGTTCGGGTTCCCCGAGCAGTTGATTACAGACAACGCGTCTTATTTCACTGCGAAGGTGTTTGTTGACACGTGCGCCGCGTTGGGCATTAAGCACAAGAAAACAACCACCTACCATGCTCAGTCGAACCCCACGGAGCGAGTCAATCGCAACATCAAGCACATGCTTGTCGCGTTCTCTGAAAGACATAAGGACTGGGATACCTATCTTCCAGAGATCGGTTTTGCATTACGATCGACCGTAAACCGATCGACTGGGTATGCGCCTTCTTCTCTGAACTTGGGGAGAGAACTGCCGAATCCGATGGAGACCGTACTCGCGGACCGCAGTGGAGTGCCAGTGGCGACATCAGCACGCGCTGAATACGCAACGCAGCTGCGCGAGAAGCTAGCGGAAGCTTTACATAAAGCTCGACATAATCTCCGCACTGCTAGGGCACAGCAGAAGGCGCAGTATGACCGCACGCGTAGGAACGTACACTACGAAGTGGGCGATCTGGTGATGCGGCGCCATCATGTTCTCAGTAATGCTAGCAAACAGTTTGCTGCCTCGCTGGCACCGAAATGGTCCGGGCCGTACCGAGTGCGAGAGAAAGTTTCTTCACTCGTTTATCGACTCGCGAACATGAAAGGCAAACCGAGCGGCGGACCGGTGCATGTATGTGACTTGAAACGCTACATAGCACGGGAGGCGCATGAGGACTACGGTCAGTCCCCCTCCAAGCCGCGCGCGGCGGGTGAGATGGTTCGACACCGGGTCAGGAGCCCAGAACCGCGCTACTTCCTGCGTAACAGTCGGAGGCAACTATGCACGGTAGGCCGCGTTTGATATGTTCGACGCGGGGTGCAAGGGTTAGCGCGCAACACATGTGCGATTGTTAACCTGTCGTTCTTTATCTGTATCACTCTCACCGAACAGATGGAGCGCCATTGGGAGCAGCACCGCCGGAACAGCAAGGAGAGGAGACCACCTCCTTACGGCCAGCCCCCACCCCCACCAACGTCCACATGGCAGCCCTACCCCACTGCGGCCCGGCCGCGAACGCCGAGGCAGAGCCACTCGAGCCGCCGCCACCGAGGGGGTCCGCGCGCGCTGCCGCCTGGTCACCAACTCTCGGCTTCGCCGTCACCATCACGACCCGCCGGTTCACAGGGAACGAGACCAGGGTCCCAACGCGGCGAGCCGACCGCATCGCCTCACGGCCGCAACCACCGAGACGTGGCAACCTGGACCAGCCAGGATGGAGGCGACCCTCCGGTGTCTTACGTCTCCTCGAGGCCCTGGCGCCGGCAGGAAAGGGCCCGAGTTGGGGTCGCCCCAGCGCACCTGTATCGCCCTTTTCAGGGGCGCACGGTAGAGGACGCGGACCGGAGGGCTAACGGGGCTTGCCTTCCAGTGCCCGCAGGGACGCGGTTCTGCGAGTGCGGCGCCGTGGTGATCCATAACTCCCACGAATTGGGGAAATTACACCGGCACCGCACCCAGGCTACCCAACCATCCAGCCGCGAATCATCCCAGGAGCGCTCCGGCGCCGCGGTTCGGGCCATGCTGGCGCGGGCGGCCCAGGAGGCGGACTTCGCGCAGTGGCTGCTGAGAGTTGCCTCAGGCCACGCGTCCAGCGAGAGTCCGCCTGCGCCGCTATCAATAACGGCTACCGTAGAGCGGGGGGCGGCGGGGCCGGGAGAGACATTGGTGGCGGCTGCATTGACACCGGAGGTGGCGTCAATGACCTTGGAGGCGGGTGAGAGAGCGGTGGGGGCTCCGGCGGTGCCCGCGGCAGACACCGAACGGTCCGAGGGCATGGACGTAGACCAGGCCCTTCTGGCCTATCTAGAGGACGAATAAAACGAATTATTCCCTCTTTGCAGTCTCTGTCGTTCGGGGGCCTTCTTAAGGGGGGAGGAGATGTGGGGAGCAGGTGCGCCCAGCCTCCCTTTCCCTTTTAGGGCAGCGCACGCGCCTGGTTGCGGGGACCCCTTCCCCCACGGCCGGCGCGTGCGATTCCCCCCCCCTTTCCCGGCGCCAGGAACAGGTTCCCCTCTCCCTCAGCGAGGAAAGGTGCCATTCTCGTCAGGGAAAGGGAAATCGGGTCGGGGAACAAAACGAGCGGGCAAACGGGCGCTCGCTCTCTGACACCAGCGACCATCCCAGGAGGACGAACCCGCAACCCCTCCTGCGAGCCGAGGACGTCCACGACCGAGGTGTAAGCGTCAACACCTTTGTTATCTGTAGTATCTCCCCGCGACAGTGACGCGCGATTGCTAACGCTTAGCAATAAAGTGTTTGTTGTTGATCTGGCCAGTTGCCTTATTCGCCCGAACCCGTAGTAGTAGCTGCAATGAGGCAAGCTACGGTTGGGGGACGTTAACCGTGCACGGAACGACTGTGTGCGGCTGAAACATTAGCTATAGGCTTCTGCGTCAGCCGTACATAGGACGGTCCCCCCAACAACATATCGTCCTTCTTGTAGCTTGTGACGAAGTATAACTAGAAGTTGGAATATCTAGAACATTAGCACACTTCTCTACAAATCTTGAAGGTGTGTTTTTTGAAACTGTTGCTAAGCACAGATTTTCTGCAAGAAGGACTTTTCTGCTTGTTTCCAGTTTCACAAATGGAGACATCAGCTCTAAGGGAATAATACGAGATATAATCGGTAATATAAAAATTGTTTGCTAGGGAAAATGGCCCTGCATCTTCTTAACACTTTCGTGATGGCGATAAATTTGGTTGTTCTAGGGTAGTCCAGAAAACCTTATTTTTTATGGCACCCAAAGTTTCTGACATTAATGTTTATCGTGTCAAATTGTACAGCTAGGCGTTATCTTTCAAACAGTCAGTTTCAAACCACAAATTTATTAACAATAGTATGAAAAAAATTATCAAACAAAAAACATGGTAAACATGAACAAAGAAATTTTATAGAACCATCAACACTGCTCTGAACAAGCTAAGCATAAAAAGAAATGGAAATATACATTTTAAGTGCAAGAAGCACACACAATTATCCTGTAAGTGCTGTAAATACAAAAGTTTTTGTGGACACAAAATAATATTACACATAATGTCTTCATGCCACTGTGTGAAGCACTTTCGCGATGCAGTAAAACATATGTTTTATATGCATGTCTCACAGAAAACACTTACTTTCTGTTCAACTTTTCTTTGTTCATAGCATAATTTACAGTTTCTGATTTTTTTTTTTGGGGGGAGGGGGGGAGGGGGATGCTGCCATTATCCCTGAGGAGCATTTCGTGTAGGAGCATCAAGATGGACTTTGGGACAGCCAAGAACCGTCTCTTCCGTTGCACGTCGGCTTCTGAAAAATATGCGTCCAAACATATTTATTTGTGCTTTTGCATAGCTCTCCAATAACTTAAGCAATAAAAAACAAAAAGTCGTAGGCGCTTATGAAGCGCCACGCGGCACTACGTAATGCAGCTCCAAGGTAATGCAGCAGCTCTTGGCTGCCTCCGCGCACGAAACTACACTCCTTGCGCTGTCTCCAGGAAGTAGTCCCGCCCGAAGAAAGATAAGAGCTCTAACCTTCAGAACACATTGGGTCAACTTACACCGACACGGGCCGACAATAACGCGGCCCGAGCACAAAGCCAAACTCACTGGTGGAAGACCACTAATATTTTGGGGCAGTTTGTTGAACTCTCGTCGTCCGCGCTGAAATCAAAAGTGTTGATGTCGTCTTTCGAGCCTGTGCTGTTGTCATTTGAATATTCCAGGCCAGATGCATGAGAATCTCTTGAACTTCGTCATTTTCGTGAAGCGGTCACACTGCGACGTCGATGTCATGATTGAAACTATGCACGCTCAATTACGCGCATGGAAAGGCACTTTAAAATCCCCGAATGGTGAAAAAAGAAAAGCTGATAAAATACTTTTTCTTTTACGCATTGTATAGCACAATGGTTTCAATAGCGTTCGACACAGGGCAAATATACTAGTTGTAAACATTGAAATGATACTATCGATGGGGATAGGTGTGGTCAGGAAAGTGTTAAATCAGTACAACTCTGCAGTAAAACTCTGCTTACCTGTTCCTGGCTTATGTGCCTTCCTACATATATCATTCCTGGTGTTTGGTCCTAGCAAAGAATCTACTAACACTTACATATTAGAATTCCGACTTTGTATGTCGTGCTTCTTCCTGCCTGTTTCGTTGAGATCTGTCGCGGCGCTAAGTGTCCTGTGGAGTATATGAGTGAGTTTGCTGATGTGTATTGCCTAAAAGCTACCCTAGGTCTCGAAAAGGCAGATTCTTGCAGAGGCACACAAAAAAAATATTCCGCGCTTTTTCCAAAGAGCTATGAATTGGTGATTATACTCAGTGAGGTACACTTGAATTGAGTTTATGGGTTTTATTATATAGCAGTACTTTTTCTCCACTTTTACTGAATGTTCACATGGTACATTTCCTTGCTTCTGCAGTTCGTTTTCTTTCACCGCTCCATAAAAAAATGTTTTATTACAGCAGCTAAGCATTCACAGTGCAGCTAATAATTCACAAGTCTGCATCCATTTAAATAGAGAATCATTCAAACAGCTTATAGTTAAATTGCATTTAATAGATTAAAAAAAAGATTGTCGAGCCTGGACGAATGAGTTACACTGCGAGGAATGTAGTAATTGAAGCTCGACATCTGTGCAGAGCCGTTTCCTTCATCATGCTCTTCGACGTCGAGCTTGTGCCGGCAGATGTTTGGGCCGCACATTGCTCCCATTGACCCGAGTGCCTTGGCCGACCTGGAAGAAGAAGCACGCACGGTGGCTGCCTCGGTCGAGACGCTGCTGGAGAGTCTCACCACCTCCATGCATGGGGTGAGATTCGTATGGGGGGGCTAGTATTTGTTGCTTATTAAAGGCAGAGTCAAGGGAATGACATGCCCATAGAGCCAATGGGGATGAAAATTGGACGAGATGATAGCGCCGTCTGGATTCTGGTGGCAGTTGTAAAAAGATAGGAAAATTACTATTTTATGCATAACTTGAAAAGCTTTCATTATCTTTTACACTATAATAGCTTTTTCAAACAAATAATACCTAAGAATATTGTTTGTATAATTTATAGATGCGTATAAAATGAAATAGGTTTTAAAAGCACGAGGACATTTTGATATGGCGGCTGGCATTCCGCATAGCAGACGACATCGTCGTCGTCTGCTTCTGCGTTGTGATTGTCCCCGGCTCGTTGCAGCAGCCTCTCTAAATTTTTTTTTGTTTCTATAGAGTACACTGCTTACTAGAATCTCACACGTATCTTGCATACTCACTTTAGTAAGTTAATGATGCTCATACAGGCCATGCGAAATGACAACGCTGATCACACCAACTTCAGCAATAAATTGTTTTATTATGAGTGTATCGATATTTACATAAAATGAAGGCCACGTGAGTAACGTTTTAGCATGTGCAGCAGTGAACAGTATGCATGATTCAGCGTTTATGTGCAAACAAGGTACGTACCACGCATAGCCCCAATGCAGATGTCCGGAGCACAGAAGCTGTCCAGCGCGCTGGCTGATATATATGTCAAACTGCACAAAACCTTCATTGTTGTAAGTAAAGGTATACCGCTAACATTGCTGCAGTTCTGTAGCTTGAGATGTCGCAACACGTCATTGACAGTATTCGGCAAACTTTCTAAAATGTATATCAACATATCCACATGCCTTTCACGAGCGGTGCGGCGCGACGGTTTCGGGTTTGCGTTGCCACAGTAAGTGCGTCACTTTTCAATCTTCTACGCATCTGCACTATTCATGCTTATAAGTGCCTAAAATTTAGTGAGAAGCAGTTTTTTATGCGTGCTATTTTCAAGTCTTTAGAAATAAAATTATCGAAAAAAAGACTTAGATGGCGTTCCGCCTGCCGCTCCTCATAGAGTTTCAGAAATATACACTAGAACGAACTCTGGCACTAATGCCTATGGAAGCTGCAACGCTTGGCGCTTCAGCGAGAATGGGAATTATGGGTATGATATTGATTTGCCTAGTCTTCGTACTGTACGTTCATTCTGGCTTCGCATGGCTTGAAGCTGCTTTGCTGCGAAACAAGAATCGGCAAAAGTTCGTCACTTATGCTTCACCACCTCAATATTTTAAGCTTACCACTTCAAATTGGATTACAAAGTGAAAAACAGTTTTTTTTCTTCGAAACAAAACCAATACACAGCAATAGATGAAGCCACTAGTGCATTCGTCGCCGGCAAGCACGAAGACTAAGCAAATTCATGTCACACCCATAATTTCCATGGTCACTTAACGATCGCAGCGCCAGTGTACCCTTTGGTTAATTTTAGGAAACTTCATGCCGCTGCCGACGGTGCACTGTCGTTTCAACGGGGGCTTGGACAGGAAACTCGCAACATGCCGATGGCTTGGCGGAGCTCCTTAAGCTTGGAAAAACTGTGTAGATATCTGATAAGAAATTATAAACGGTGTGTACATGCTTCGTGACCGTGTGCACCCAATACATGCTCTTTTTCTGCGCCCATTTGGCCAGAGTCGAATGCAATAACTTAGATCGGTGAGAAAATGAGCGTAGAGACCAAGAAAGACAGATAAACAGAGAGATAAAGAGAAGTAAGGGGAATAAATATAATGTGAAAGATATAAATATAGAGAAATAAGTAGACAGAGAGAGCAAGGAAAGGAAAATGTGAAATAAAGGAAAAGATAGAAAGAAGTGAAAATATAGAGAGAAATAAAGAAATAATGAGAGAAAGAAAGAGGAAGAGAGAAACGAAAATGGCCGCCAACCGAGCGGTACTTTCAGGCTTGGCAACAGCAATGCCTGTATTTTTGTTATGAGGAGCAAATGCATATTCCTCCTCGTGCGAGCGCATAGAACAAACTGGCAGGTGCCTGAACGTCAGACCTAAAAAGAACTTTACTTCCACAAAAGGCAGCGTGCTTATGCGTCTTGCACTTCAGGATTGCAAGTCACAAGGTGAGTATGCGCTCCAATTTGAAAAAAGCTTCATACTTTTACGCATAGAGATCAAACAACCAGGGAGGTTCACAGAATTAGGAGAAAGAATTAGAGGCGTGTCAGTCAAGCTTCCTCAGCTCGTCTTGATAGTGAGTTACTTTTTTTAGATGCGAACTAAACACATGACAGATAGTTTAGGTTTTTTAACAAAATATGCTTCTTTTCTTTTTTTCTTGTAGTTTTGTGATGACATAAGACATGTTGCGTCGTAAAAGTTCCCTACTGTCTGAATTCAGTTGTCAATGGCACATATCATCTTGTCTATTTGTGCATTGCTCATGTCTCATTAGTCTGCACTTCTTATCCGCCATGGCTCAACTAAGGTACTAACTAACTAGGTTCACCATGGTCTGTCCTTACAACGCAGCTGTTAAGGAGACTTCTGCAATGGTTTCTGTGTGGCAGTGAAGGCGATGTGTGGTGGGGCAAGAGTTATCAAATATTAATAAACATACTAGATAGAGCAGTGCAGCTTGTGTTTTCATATCTGTACCAGCTGTAGTAGTTTAGCAGCTGAAGCATGGAACCCCCAAGCTCGAGAAACTGGGTTGGATTTCTGGCCATAGGAGCTGCATTTCAATGGCAAATGAAAAAAAAAAAAAAATTCACCTTTGTACCTTTATTTTTTTTACTATTCTAAAGATGCTTTTTGAAAACACAGCAACTATTCGAAAGATAGTTTTTCAGAAATGCATCATGTTGGAACAAATGGTGGTGTGGCTAATTTTTATATCTGCCCTTACGTTAACAGCGTGTACATTTTTTAAAGTGTAGGCCTGTCTCACTGGTGTTTTGAAGCCTCCACTTTCGCCCACACCCTAAATTCTGGCTCTGCTTCTGGTCTGCATTTTGCATTAAATTCTCACCCAGCAATCACCTGTCAGCCTTCACAGAGCAGGAAATGTGTACATGGTCTTAAGTTGAGCAATAACAATGCTGCCATTATCAAAGCTAACTAGCAAGGTGGATTTTGCCATTTTCGTTAGTGAGATGGTTGTTGTTGTGCCAATCCTTGTAACTGTTCTGTACAAGTTGATACAGCCTATAGCTGATGCTCTCAACAAGTTTGGGGCTAGCTTAGAGCCCTATTTCTTGCTTTCAGATCTCGGCCATGACAGTGGACTGCATGAGACTGTACGAGAGAGGTATCTCCAAGACCTGTGACATGGCGGACTCCAACATCAAGGTGGGCACAAAAAGCTGAGTCATGGCACTGGCTTACAGAGGCATGAGCAGGATTTGACTATCTGCCAAACAAAATATACGCACATATACCTATTGTAGCACTGAATCAATCACATCGAATATACATGATCACCATTTATATGGGGTGCCTATAATGATGTTAGTGTATGGGAGACCAGTGCTGGATAGGTGGCGCACCAAAAAACAGCATCTGGCAGAGAGTCGCGACACAATTCAGCCGCTTGATCCCAGACGATCCGCCCAGGGAACACCTGAGTGGCAGTAGTGTACCGTGGGGAGGCCACACGCGTGTGCTATTACAGCGCTTCATTTTGGAACTGAGAGCCCAAAAAGCCATTGGGCCTGTAATACTGCACTGGGGTTTTAAAAAAACAAAAAAACCAAAAGAAACGGTCCGAAGGCAACTCTCGCTAAAAAAGCACTTGAAAACGAAAGAGAAGCTTTGCAGAGCGGATTGTGCTATGCATGTGGCATAGAGGGGACAACGCTGTGCAGTGATGGCAACTCCCTCGTCATCATTTTCTGGTTGCGTGCTGGATTTTGTGCTAAGCTAGTGCCGGCTCATATGCCCCTATTGACAAGACCGTGTGGCGACGATACCACACTGCCCACTTCTGTAGTAAAGAAAAAAAAAAAAAGAGGAAGCAGTACCTGTGGCATCAATTTTTTTTCTGCTACCATATGTACATCCTGTCCGCAGTATGATCATGTGGACGTTGATCAAACAAACCACCGCGACAGCATAGCGTGGGTGATTTAGCGCTCCTATGCTCGATGGTGCGGGATAGATTTCCGACGATGGTGGCCTTGACCAAGAACAACTTTGACCCAAGATGTATGTATGCATCGGAGAACCCCAGCGGTCACAATCGTCATACGCACACTACAGCGTACCTCAAAATGATATCTTTTTTGGCACACGAAAGTCTAGCAATTATCGATGTTGAACAGACACCTTCATTTTAGGCTGACACAGGCAAGTGGAAAAACTGAAACTCTGTTGTTAGGCAAACTAAACAACTAATAAAAATCAGACATTTGATACTTCTCTAGCAAGGCATAAATTCTGATGTTACTTAGCCACGGCAGCCAGTCAGAAAGATTGATGGTTGATTTATATGTGGCTTTCAACGTCCCAAAGCCACCATATGATTATGAGAGACGCCATGGTAGAGGGCTTCGGAAACATAAACCACCTGGGGTTCTTTAACGTGCACTCAAATCTGAGCCCATGGGCCTACAGCATTTTTGCCTCCATCGAAAATGCAGCCGCCGCAGCCGGGATTCGATCCCGCGATTTGCGGGTCACCAGCCGATAGTGAGAAAGAAGCTTACTGCATCGGCTAACTACATAAAGCCATGCTTAGAGTATTCCGCTGCTGTATTCGTAACAAGAACCCGGTCTATTGCACAAAATTAGTTTAACACAGGCGTCTTAGCATTGAGTATTCATCGCGAGCGTATCTTGTGTAGTATTTCAGTGGCTTAGGCCAACATACCCCCACATAAATTATTTAGACAAGGCAGCTTTCTTTTCATGTCTACTCTTCGCAAATCACGTAGACTACTTATTTGTATCACTCATTTCACGTGGGGTCATCAAATGGAGTTTGGTGGTGGTGATCAGATGACAAATCTTCTACATATGCCATACGTATGCTGCATAATATGCTAGTTTTACTTCCGGCAAAACACCGAATGAATTCGGCAGATTCGTTTTGGTTTCCACTGATGGCCGACTTCATTATCGAATAGACCTAGCAGACAGGCGCAATTCGGTTCAGAAACCAGTCTGACGCCACTAGACGGGAGAGCGAGAGCAGGACATACGTGCTCCTCTGACCGCTTACATGCAATGCCGCCTCTTTTCTTATTGATATGATAGAGAAAAAAAAAACGCACAGGGATACGCCCTCCCTCATTTCTAACTATTGTCGCACTTGAATACCAGCAAGACCACCAGGGCCCTTTGGTATTGTTTCGACGCTGCGCGCCCGCACTGTCTTTACCAGCCACCACTCTCGGCTGCCGGAGTGGCTTAGAAGTGCGCGCTTTGGCTGCCAGGGCTCTGTGGAAACTCCAGCGCTGGTTTCCTATAGCATCTGGCCTTGGTGGGTTACTTGTGAAAGTAAAGGCCTTGGCAATGTGAAAAAAAGCCACTTTGAAATTTAATGTTTCTATAGAAACAATCAGGCCTCACCGGTGACCACCGCCGGTAACGCACTCCTTCACCAGAGAAGGATTGGCCCCCCTGGTGCAGTATCTGGCCACTACCTCCCACATGCATATGTCAATTAACTCATGGCCCTCAGTCCCCAGCAGCTGCGAAGCAACTGACCACGGCGGCGGTCAGACCTGCAACGCAGCAGAGGGTGCTAAGAATCTCTGGATCCGGACAGGCTACCATTGGAACCTGAACTTGGCAACGTTTAACGCTAGAACCTTATTCTAGGGCAGTTTAGCTGTACTATTCGAGGAGCTAGAGGGTGTTAAATGGGATATAATAGGGTTCAGTGAGGTTTGGAGGACAGATGAGGCCTATACGGTGCTACAGAATGGGCACGCCCTTTGCTATCGGGGCTTGGCTGACAGAAGAGAACTGGGAGTGGGGTTCCTGATTCACAGAAACATAGCTGACAACATAGAGGAATACTATAGCATTAATGAAAGGGTGATAGGTATCGTAAATAAACTCAATAAGAGATACAAGATGAAGGTGGTACAGGCTTATGCGCCTATATCCAGCAATGATGACGCTTCAGTTGAAAGCTTCTATGAAGACGTGGAACTGGCAATGAGTAAGGTAAAAACAGTATACTATACTGATGGGAGACTTTATTGCAAAAGCAGGGAAGAAGCAGGCTGGAGATCGGGTTGTAGGAGATTATGGCATTGGTACTAGAAATGCCAGAGGAGAGCTACTAGTAGAATTCGCAGAACGCAATAATTTACGGATTTTCAATAGCTTCTACCGAAAATGAGGAAACCGTAAGTGGACATGAAAGAGCCCTAATGGCGAAAATACGAACGAAATAGACTTTATAACGAGTGCATACTCAGGCATCGTGCAGGATGTGGAAGTGGTTGGCAAGGTACGATGCAATGACTATAGAATGGTACGGTCTCGAATTCGCCTAGACTTGAAGAAGGAACGACAGAAACTGATATGCATGAACCCAATCAATGAGCTAGCACTGAGAGGGAAAGTACAAGAATTCAGAGTCTCGCTTCAGAACAGGTACTTGGCTTTAATTGAAGAAACCAACCTTAGCGTTGACACAATGAATGACAATCTGATGAGTATCGTTACGGACTGTGCAGTGGAAGTTGGAGGCACGGTAGTTAAACAGGACACTGGCAAGTTTTCTCAGGAAACGAAGAATCTCATTAAGAAGTGTCAAAGCATGAAAGTCTCAAGTACAACAGACAAAATATAACTGGCAGAGCTTTCCAATTTGGTTAATAAGTGTAAGGTATCCGATGTAAGAAAGTATAACATGGAGAGAATTGAACATGCTCTGAAAAACGGAGGAAGCGTCAAAGCAGTGAAAAGGAAACTTGGGATACGCAAAAATCTGATATATGCACTAAGGGACGAAGAAGGCAAAATAACTACCAATATGGATAGGATAGTTAAAATAGCAGAGGAGTTTTACAGAGATCTGTACAGTAGCCGGGACAACCACGACCTTAACACAAGAAAACGCCAGTGTCGCGCAGATTTTGTGTCGCGCCGAAGAAGCTCGTCGACTTGCTCAGCTCCACAGTCTCTCCGCCCACGCTCGCGCGAAAGACCGTTATGACACAAAACACACGCCTGCGACTTTCGCTACGGGTGCTTTCGTCTGGCTGTGGACGCCCGTTCGAAAGAAGGGGCTTTGCCAGAAGCTTCTTTCTAAGTACTCAGGACCATTCGTCATTACTCAGTGCTTGAGTGACGTCACTTACGCTGTAGCGAAAGTGACAGCTCAGAATCGGCGTTCGCGTAAGACGCAAATTGTGCACATTGCCCGATTGAAGCACTACAACAACCGATCGCTTCTACTCGCTCTGTGAGCTTTGGCTTGCACGGAGGAAAGTGTAACGCGGACTGAAAGAGCGAGAAAGAAGAAGAGGTAGGACGCTCTCGAGCGATGGTGATTCGGCAGTAACGGTTGAGCGCTGGCATTTTCAGTGTAAATAAACCCATCACATCCGTAACAAAATAATATATATTTGTCTGTTGTTTTCTTGACACTTTGAATAATACAAAATTCGCTTACTAAGAACATTTTTTTCAGTTTCATAAAATCTGAATTAACGACCTTTTGTTACACCAGGATGTATGCTTATTAAATGTAAACCATCAGCCTCGTGTGTGGAACTCGTGCAGGCAATGTACCAGCTGATGGCCAAGTTTGAAGAGCTGAGCACCTCCATGCGACCGCTGGATGGCCTCGTGGCAGAAGTGTATCCTTTGCTGTTGGGTGCCTTGTATACTACTGTTCATTATGTGTGCCTGTGCTCTAGCTCGATTTGGATATGTTTGTCAGCCAGTGTGGCAAACTCTACCACAATATATATGCACTGCAGGCAGCATTCTTCATCATTATAGAGTAAATGGGCATGTAGGATAACTTATAGAATCATATTGTTTGTGCCCACTCTTTGTAGGTGCTTATTTGCACCATTAGTCAGTTTAAGGTGATTTCATGTGATAATTTCTAGACCCTGTGTTCAGTTGATTGTGGCTGCCTTATAAAAAAAGTCATCACGTTACACCACTGTTCATTCTTGTGACCTATTCAATAAAAAAGCATGCTCAGTAGTCTGTGACAGCAATTTGAATTTTATGGTGGGGGCGAGAACCTGTGTAGCAGAAAATAAAACTCTGCAAAAGCAGTGCTAAAAAACTTCCAGCTACTGGTGAAGAATATATTTTAAATCGGCGCACGACTACGCGGACACAACAGAAGGTGGGACATACCGCAATGCTGGAGTTTGTCCCTTTTTCTCTTGTGTCCGCGTAGTCATGCACTGAGTTAAAGTATGTTCAAGTACTGTCACCAACTGGCCCAGCTTTTGGTCCTTCTGCTGGTAAAGAGTCTGCACTTCCTCACAAGAGCCCAATGATGGCTGGTATTGTGTTTTACAATGTGCCTTGTAATAAAGCACTTTGCCTTTTCCGGGCCATATGTAATGTATATTTTTTAAAATCATTACTTGTGTTGCAAAGGCAATACAGCTGCATCTCTTGCTTGTGGGGTTACTGATAGGTACACTGTACAGAAGATTAAGGGAATGATTTTTCATTAGTAAGCTGGTTGCCTAGATCTGTGCGGGGCATGCTGACAGCAGATTTGAGTGGGACCCAAGGTGTTGACAAAGGTGTGCTGAGGATTCTCGGGCATATCCACACCCACGACACACACACATGTGCACACATGCACGCGTAAACATTCTGTTATGAAGAAAATCAGCGCCGTTCTGAAAGGCAGAGGGCAAGAAGACTGCTCTCAGGCAGGAAGACGATCACGTTCGGCGTTAGCGCATCGCAACGCTTGCGCCTGCTCGGCTGTTTCTCCCTGACCTGTCATGACGGTCTATACGGTTTAGTAATGAGGTGCTTGGAGTCCTTGAAGCAGGCAAGAGCGCCTTTTTTAGCAGGCTTGAAGCATCCAGAAGGACATTTTGGAGTAGGCATGTAGTAGCTGGGATGGCCTTTACGAGCATGTTTGTATTCAGAGAAGATTTAGCCCTATTACACAGAAAAATGAGCATAATCGTCATTACCCAACTACAATGTACTAAAAGGGGGCAGTGTGAAGCAGCGTTTGCCCACTGCTGCATTTTTTCAAACACTAAGCTTAATTGTGCAATAGCTTTAATATTGTGATAGCAATTGTAAAGCCATTGTAAGGCAGTTAGGATGATATAAATGAAAGACAACTATAGGGCTCTCGACGAGTTTTTGCCATCACCGTAATGTCCCGCATAAAGTCCAAATTGATTACATACCCCCGTGCACCGCATGTTCTACCTACTGGTAAAAGTGCATGAGCGGGGCCGACAAAGGCGGCTGAAGCAGATATCAAAAGTGCTGGCCCATCTCCGTCGCTCGGAGGGCTCATGCCAGGTCCATAGCCAGGAATTTTTTTTCAGGGGAAGGCCTCAAATCAGTTTCACCGCAAGGGCGAAGCAATGAGTGTGATAGCAACAAATTGCATGGTTATGCGAAGTCAGGCTGGCAGTTAACTCCTCTGCATCTAATATTACGTAACTCTAATAAAATGGTGGTGTAAGAGAATAGGCTGCACTAGTAGCGCCAGGGAGACATGTTTTTTTAGCGTTGAAAGTGCAACATGTAGAAGGGTTCAGGAACCATTCGCGCTGATGTCTGTCGAGATAGCGCGCATGCCAGCACTTGCGACTGCACCCTTAGAATTAAACTTCACTGCAATAACAGCCTTGATGAAACCGAAACTATAACTGTTTTGATAAAACGCGATGTTTCAGCCACATTTTCAAGCATGGGGCTTGATGGCTGTCAAACCTTGCGGCTAAATTTGGGTGCTGCGGCGCAGTACGGCACAGATAAATGAGTTTTGCGCAAATGGCACTGCTGTTTCACTCTTGCATTCATTTCACGTTCTGGTTGAAGCGGTTTTCATCTCTTTCATTTGTCGCTCACTATATTACGTGGTGTAGCATGCCAGGGCAACTTTTGAAAAGTTTTTTAGTTACAGTCCTAGATGTACAATAAGACTAGAGAATGTTATGTTGCTGCTAAGGTGTGATGTGCTGTGGAGCACTGATGCAAATTGACATAAATTTACGATTTAAAAAAGCAGCCATGGCATAGCTCCAACTGTTGCATAAAGGTGAAGAGAGAGAGCTAGACTTGTCAACAGAATGCTGTATTTCTTGCCAGAGGGACCGAGCCTGTTTTATATCAATAGTGTGTCGCAGAATTTAGGCATGGGTGTACACCTAATGGCAAGAGGTTAATGTGGGCATTATCAAATGTACAGTGCTAATGAATTGAAACTTTGTGTTATCTAAAGTAAATACATGAAAAAATGCTGAAGCTTGGGTTGATTGGTGTAGCATTATGTCCAGAGAGGATTGCTTCTTGTTGTCCAGTTTATTTATTTATTTATTATACCCTCAGGGCCTGAAGGCATTACAGAGGGGAGTGGGTAATACACAAATACAGTGAGTTAAGTGAAAGGCAATATAAAGCACAAAACATTTCCTAATTATACACTGTTTGCTAGGTAACAAAGCAAATAAGTACAGTGAACAGTAATTAGAGGCAGGTAAGTTATAAAAAAATGATAATATTGTCACGTCTCTTTAGGGGGTGTCGACAAGGTTTACTGACGTCTGAGCAACAGGGCTCTAACCAAGCGCGTCGGTTGGGCTTGTTTGCCAGAGCGGGGCCCACGTGCACTTCTTTCTTCTCTGTGGTGTGTGCCTTCACCTTGGCATACGACCCACTACTAGAAGTAGGTGGCAATATTCCTCAACAACAAAAAAAAGAGCATCGTCCCGATGCTGTAAAGTTATTGAAAAAAAAATCCCAAAACAAAGTAGTTTAAACAACAAAAAAGGGCACCAATAATCAAATGTGAGACGCGATAAGTTCACCAATGATGAGGAAATTGTCGGAGCACAAATAAAAAACAACACACAGGAAAAGTGGTCTTTTAGGAACGCGTAAAATAAGGCTTCATGCGCACCACGTGAACTATGTCAGAGGTCGGTTGTTTTCGTTGTACCCATCGTGACGACGTAGCGTCCGGAACCACTTGGTAGTTTACGTCGCTCACGCGGCGTAATACTTTATACGGGCCGAAGTATCTGCTGAGCAACTTTTCGGAGAGGCCACGGCGTCGAACAGGGGTCCAAATCCAAACTTGGTCTCCCGGTCTGTAAGATACGTCATTATGACGCATATTGTAACGTCGTGCATCGACCTGTTGCTGCTGACCAATGTGTAGCCGGGCGAGCTGGCGAGTTTCCTCGGCACGCTCTGCAAATTCTTCTGCGTCAGTTGTTAATTGATCGGCGCCTTCACAAGGAAGCATCGCATCCAGCATCGTCTGAACTTCGCGGCCGTAGAGAAGGCGAAACGGTGTAAATCGGGTTGTTTCTTGAACGGCGGTGTTATAAGCGAACGTCACATAAGGCAAAATGCGATCCCATGTTTTGTGTTGGACGTCGATGTACATGGAGATCATGTTTGTGACTGTTTTATTTAGTCGTTCTGTTAAGCCATTGCTCTGCGGATGGTAAGCAGTCGTCGTTCGATGCCTAGTGTTACTTAGTCGAAAAACTTCATCAATAAGCAGTGCAGTGAACGCTGTTCCTCTGTCGGTTATCACTGCAGATGGAGCACCATGGCACAGAACAATGTGGCACATGAAGAACTGTGCTACCTCAGAAGCCGTGGCTCGTGGTATCGCCTGTGTCTCAGCATAGCGGGTCAAATAGTCAGTTGCAACGATGACCCATTTGTTGCCGTCGGATGATAAAGGAAATGGGCCGAGAATGTCCATGCCGACTTGGTCAAATGGCTTGTGGGGTGGATCAATTGGCTGAAGTAATCCAGCCGGCTTGCTTGGTGGCGACTTTCGACGCTGGCATTCACGACAGCTTTTAACAAACTGCTTCACGACAGCTTTTAACAAACTGCTTCAGATGTGGGCTCGTCATGACACTTCGTCCTGCATGTCCTTCGGAACGACGAGGAGGTAAGCGCGGCTCGTAGAACGGGCGGTTTTTTTTTGTACAGGACATTATCTCGGAGGCAGAAAGACGTCACGACGTGAGATAGATGGCGAGGTATAACGGCGCTATGACCCTCCAGATAGTCGATGAGCGGTCGAATCTGTTCATCCTCTCGCTGGCGTCTGCTCAAGTCAGATGAGCTAAGGGCGCCCAGGAAACCGTCATCGTCCTCTTCTTCTTGATTGACTAAAGGTATGGGTGCACGCGACAGCGTATCAGCGTCTTCATGCTTCCGTCCAGACTTATATACGATGGTAACATCAAATTCCTGTAGACGCAAGCTCCATCGGGCCAGTCGTCCAGAGGGATCACGAATGTTTACCAACCAGCAGAGGGCATGGTGGTCCGTCACCACTTTAAATGGACGACCGTAGAAGTACGGGCGAAACTTGGTGATCGCCCACACTACTGCGAGACACTCTTTCTCTGTGGTCGTGTAATTCACCTCGGTATGGGACAGTGAGCGGCTGGCATAGGCTATGACTCGTTCTTTGCCGTGTTGATGCTGGACGAGCACTGCGCCAAGGCCGATGTTACTGGCGTCAGTGTGCACCTCTGTGTCAGCATCATCGTCAAAATGCGCAAGAACAGGGGCTGACTGCATCTGCTGTCGTAGCTCGGCAAAAGCAGCCTGTTGCTCAGTAGCCCATACAAACGGTGTGTCATCGCGTGTAAGGCGAGTCAAGGGTTCCGCTATCTTCGAAAACCCTCTAATAAATCGTCGATAGTAGGCGCACAAGCCCAGAAAGCGCCGAACAGTTTTTTTGTCTGTAGGATGCGGGAACGCTGCTACAGCGGCAAGTTTGTCGGGGTCGGATCGGATTCATTTGGCGTTGACTACATGGCCAAGGAATTTGAGCTCTTCATAACCAAAGTGACACTTCTGCGGTTTGAGTGTAAGATCTGCTGATTGAATAGCCTGTAGCACACTCCTGAGGCGGTGAAGGTGTTGCTGGAAGGTTTCAGAAAAAACGACATCATCAAGGTATACGAGACAAGTTTGCCACTTCAGACCAGTAAGCACAGTGTCCATCATTCGCTGGAAGGTTGCGGGCGCTGAGCACAAACCAAAAGGAAGTACTCGAAATTCATACAGGCCGTCAGGGGTCACAAATGCCATTTTCTCGCGGTCTCGCTTGTCAACCTCAATCTGCCAGTACCCGCTTTTTAAATCCAAAGAGGAAAAATAGTGGGCATGGCGTAATCTGTCTAACGAGTCGTCGATGCGTGGCAGCGGGTACACGTCCTTTTTAGTCACGCTGTTCAGCTTCCGGTAATCGACGCAAAAACGTAGCGTTCCGTTTTTCTTCTTGACTAGGACGACCGGAGAGGACCACGCACTGTTGGAAGGCTCGATGATGCCGTCGTCAAGCATTTCTCGAACTTGCGTATAAATGG